CTGTAAAAAATCAATAAAATATATTTAAAAAAAGAAATACGTGATAGGTTATTTTTTGAATATACATATTACTAGAAATAATAACATCAAAATTTAAATGACATAAAGGTAATATATTTTGTCCATTTTCTAAAACTGGGTAATAAGGCTGTTTCTCATCACCTACTTTATTATCAATCCATAAATTTGTAACTAAAATTTTATGTTATCAAATAAGGCATTATAATGGAAAGCATGGTATGCATCAGTGAGTGAATTCTACTCCAGTGCTGGTTTTTTGGGAATAAAAAGTCACAATTAGGTAAACCTCATAAATAAATCTAATAATTTTATTAAACATTAGGGTCAACATCTTTTCATTTCATACACTGCTAAAAACTAATTGGTCTAGTAGCTACTGCAATGCTTAGTGCTGTATGAAGCATCATCTTTGAGGCTGTGTTATGGAGCACCTAGTGCTGAATCGTGCCTCCCTCCCCCAATTTGTATGATGAAGTCCTTTGTATCTCAGAATGTAAACTCACTTTGAAACAGTGTCCTTGCTGATATAATTTAAGAGTAGAGTGGGGCTCTAATCCAATATGACTGTTGTCTATATAAAAGGGGACATTTTGACCCAAAGACATACACAGACAGAGAAAGCCATGCAAATATTGGATTTCTGCTGTCACATCTAAAGCTACCAGAAGGTAGGAAAAAGAAATGAAACGGATTCTCTGTCATAATATGCAGAAGAAACCAATTCTGTTAACATGTTAATTTCAAACTTCTAGCCTCTAGAACTGTGACAATAAATTTCTCTTTTTGAGAAATTCCTGCCCAGTTTACGGTAACTGTAATCAGCAGCCTAATACACCTGGGAAAGTTTGAACTCTCCTAGAATTCATATCCTATTCCAGGGAATAGCTTGGCTTTCTCCTTAAATACTGGTTCCAGATCTGCAAAGAGATGCTGTTTAACAAGAATCTGCTTGACTCCCAGTTCTGGTGTTCCTCTAACCTCAGCAGATGAGAAACCTCTGGGATAGTGATACTTCCCTAGAGATTTTAGTGGACTGCTGCACATCTGGGCAGTAGTCTAAAGTTCTTAGCAAGGGCACCACAGGCCCTTCATGGTCCCATCCAACCTCCCTAAGGACCTGTTCCCTCTCAACCTTCCAACTATCACCCTGGGCCCCATCCATACAAACCTTCCCTCCAAATATCTTCCGACAATTTGACCCCAACCACTGTACTGTGAGGTCTGACTGAAGACAAACAAACAATGTGGGGCCAAAGATCAGGCCAGCAATTGATATGGAGGTACTTTTCAGTCTATGAAAAAGAAACGGAGAATCCAAGCAGCATGTGGCAGTCTTGCTAAGTTATGAAGTTGGATGCTACTCCATTTTTCAAGCGGTATACTAGATAGAAGGTACCTGGACTTATAAAGAGCTCCAGAATACTTCACAAAGCACTTCCAAGACTAACTCCACATGCTCAGATTGAGATACTGCATGGTTGGACACAGGACACCTTCCAGAAGCTGTGAGCTGGAGAAATACCAGAGCTTACACAATATTATTACCAGCCAGAATGTAGAAACCACATTGAAGTCCCTGGATATTACTCACAGAATCCAGAAAGAACACACATTAGGAGGAAGGCTCACATAGCTCTATAAAATCTACATTAACAAAACTTAAAAACAAGTATTGAGAGGCTCATGTTGGTCTGTAAGTAAACTAATTGTCCACCGGGACAAAACTCAACAGAGAAACAAAAGAAACAACAAAACCAAGACACTTAATAACATAACAGTAAAAATATCCAGCCTCTATGCAAAAATTTCAAGACATGGGAAGGAGAAAAACATGATTCATAACCAAGGGGAAAATGTGCCTATTGTCCAGAAATGGCAAGAATGATGGGATTAGCACATAAGGCCTTAAAGACAGCAATCCTATATAATAAAAGGCTAATATGCAAATTGTTCCCTTGGGAGTTTGACCACTTGCTATGATGTGCACTGACCACCAGGTGGCAGCATGGAATGAAGGAAGGCCCCAGCCTGCAGCTGGCAGCCTGAGGAAGGGAGGCCCCAATCGGCCCTGATTGTAGGCCAGGCCTAGGGACCATATCCATGCACAAATTTTGTGCACCAGGCCTCTAGTTGTAAATAAATGTGTTCCAGAATTAAAAGGAAAAAAATGATTATAATGAAGGTATTAATGAGAAAGAATCTCAATAGAAAAATGACAACTACAATGAAAAACCAACTAGAATTTCTAGAACTGAAAAATACAGAATAGGAACACTGTAATTGATCCAAATATCTCATACATATGCAAATTTACTGACACACAGTCACACATATTCACACACTTTTCACTCACATATTCTCACACACACATTGACACAAATATGTATCTATACATACTAATGCACATACACTTACAACACAATCACTCACACATTGCCTTGCACACACAAACACATAAATACACACTAGAAGTATTCATCCATGTACACATTCATGCACATTCACATGCATTAACTGACACATATCCACTGATACACACTAATACATGTAAACATGCATTCACCCACACTCACACAATCACTCACACACACGAACATACTAACTAATACATACAAATGTTCATGTTTAACATTCATTAACACATTTATACTCATCACTGACACATTCGCACAACCTTACATACTCACATATTCACACACATTCACTGACACACATTCACAAAGTCATTCATACAGACTTTCACACACTTAAATTTACATTTTCACACAGGCTGGTCTGGTTTTGATACTCCAGGTCTGAATACTCTGATCCCCAAGACAGTGAGGAATCCTGGGACTGCCAGCTGTCCCTTGCCCTGCCTTATCTTGGAGAGTTCCCTGAGTGCCCTAGGGATCCAAGCAGCCACTGTGCACTCCCATCAGCATCCTATTGATGGGTACCACCCAGCCTGCCCAGCTCTGTTCCTTTGCCCTGATCGATAAGCCATTGTTCCCTGGATGTTTACCACTGCCTTTTGCAATTAGGACACTTAACAGTCTTCAAGGACCTTGCCCAGAACATAAACCAATGTTAGCCAGGCCACTATTAACCCTCCACCCCCAGCAGACCCTTCCTTGTCCAAAGCAGAGGCAAGACTGAGCTGAAACATTCAATGAACTTTATTGAAGAGAAACATTTACTGAATCCATTGAAGAAAGGGAATAACAACACAGAAAGGAGCTTCTAACTGCCTCTAGAGCCAATAGATCTTGCCCACTTCCTAAGGTCCCTAATTAGGTACCTCAACTTCCTCCACATAACAGCCCTCCCACTATAGTATATCTTCCTGAGGGCCCCATGATTGACCTTTGAGGACTGTGGGTGCAAGTGATGTCCACTCACTGCAGTACTCTTTCCCCTCTGGACAATATACTAGGGTCTGGCCCTGACCTGTGGCCTGCACAGGACAGACACAGAACACTGGAAAACACATCAGGGGACACTCCATCAAGCCTAAGAAACTGAGTCACAGGGAACAACAGGGTTATATAACAGAGCACAGATTCTGTGGAGACTTGGACAGCTGCCTTCTGTCCTCATCCAGTCTTCTGTCTCAAGATCAACCGTGAGCGCTGACCATGCCTTCAGCCATCTTTCCTGGAGTCTCTTGGGGCTCAGCTTGGGGTTTATGGGGTAGGGTGGTGGTGGGGAACTGCTCAGAGAAGAACACACACATCTCCACAAGCACAAGCAGCAGTTGGCCTAAATCTACACCGAGAAAGCAGAGGCTGAGCTCACGACACTGGACGAGAGCTGGCAGAGCCTTGGCTGGCAGTGGGGCTCACAGCATATGCTGGGGCTGAGAGGTGGCTGCCCCAGGGGGGCAAGGAGGGGAGGCACTCACCTGGGTGCTCTGCATAGGAACCATGACTACCATGTCTGTATGTATGGGGAGGGGTTATTACTTGACATGTGAGTCACCATGGGGCTTACAGAGAAATGGGTGGGGGCCTCCCTGTACAGGGAGCAGCCTGCCCCGAGGGATGAAGAATGGTGGTCCCCACAGCTGGCAACCTTGAGATGGCCCCTAACCTTTCTCAGGTCTGTTCAGATGGCAGATGTTGCCCCCCCCCCTCTAGACCTGGGAAGGCTGCTCGGAGTGCTCCCAGGCAGGCTGCCCAAGGTAGAAGGGTTTGGGGGTGGGGCTGGGGCTGGCCTTGGCATTGGTGGCTGCTGAGTGGTGGTTTGCCAGGCCAGTTCCCATTCTCCTGCCTGCTCACTCCATACCTCCAGTGGCCCTGCATAAACAAACAGAACAAAAAACTTCCCCTCCCAATAACTCCCCCCCCCTCCTCCTCTGCTCACCTCCTGTTCTCCTCCTCTTCCTCCTCTCCTGCTCAGCTCCTGTTTTCCTCCCCATCCCCCTACCCCTCCTCTCCTATTCACTCCTGGTTTTCCTCCTCCCCTCCTTCTCCTCTCCTCATGCTCCTCCCTTCTCCTCCTGCTTTAGAACAAATCCCCCTCCTCTCCCCTCCCACCCCAACCAGCTGTGGTCCTAGTCCAAGTCCCCATTCCCCTGCAGGCTGAGCCCAGGCTGTCTCCCAGGGCTCTCCTCTCAGTCTCTGCCCTCCTGCCCCCCATAGCCTTTCCAGGCTGCAGAGGGAGGAAATGCCTGCAGGCTGGGGCCGGGCTGTCCTGGTCTCACTTGCGCAGGGGCTCCAGGGTGGTGCCTTCGTGGGGCTTCCCCAGAGCAGTGTAGATGATCCTGAAGACGGGCTGGACTCTGCGGCCTCCCTTCCGGGGGGTCACCACCCCATTCCCACCACACGGCTCTTCCTCAGCACCGGTGCTGGCTGCTTCTGGCAGGGGTGGCCCCGGGGAAGGTTCTTCTGGGCTTGGTGGGGCCCATGGGCCTGTGGGCATTCTTAGCTCTGAGTTCAGCGGGTGGGCATTTGGGGGAGGCCAAATGACCGGGCTCATGCCTGAGTCCTCACCTAGATATTGGGACGCATACCAAAGTCCTCAGCTGCAACTCCTTCAGCCTCTGCCATGGTGGGGCCCCTGCTCATGGCTCGAGCACCCCATGTGCTGGGTGAGGTGGCCACTTGCTTATGTCACTGTAACTCTTCAGGGTCCTATGTTTGTCTCTCCCTGAGGGGAGGTTGGCTTCATGGTGGGGTCCCTTTCAGCTGCTGGAGGATGAGGGGGCTTAGCCTGGTCCTCACTGTCCTGCCCCTCTGCCCCACTCAAGTCCTCCGCTATTTGCGTGGAATGCCCCTTCCTTTTCTTCCAAGATCTCTTTTGTCGTCTCCTCTGCCTGCAGGAAGAAGAGCTGCCCTGTCTTCCTGAGCCTATCTGTCGTTGGACTTGGGATGGCTCTTCTCCCAAGCCCAGTTGCCATTTCCCGACTCTAAGGCAGCCTGTCTCATCTGCCTCACCGAGCAGTGGTTGGGAGCGTTGCTATATTCTGCCCTGATGTGGCCATTTTCTCCACAACTATGGCAGAACGTGTGGTGTTTCCAATTTCCTAAACTTCCAGAGCCATCCCTTGGCACATCTCCCCTTCGGCCCCTGCCCCTCCTGCGCCGGGAACTCTGGGAAGGCCCGGCCTGCACAATGTTGCCAGGGTCAGGAAAAGACACTGCTAGGAAACCACAGGCCCTGGCAGGGGACCTGAAGCCTGCTTCCAACTCATCCAGACACTCCCTCAGAGGGCCCATGGTGGCTTCACTCCTCCTCACGCAGCAGCTTCACCAGGGCCAAGAAACCGGGGGGCTTCCTCCACTGTCTCATCAGCTTAAGCCTGTCTCGAAGTTTGTCAGGAAGATTCGCCCCATTTAAGACTTGTTTCAGGCTCGTCTGATTCACCTTCCTCCGGGATACTGCGTTTTTTGCAATGGCTTTTTGGAGCAGGGGTTCCAACCTGACCACAAAACTAGACACTTTCTCTCCCACCTCCTGAGAAGCCTTACAAAACTTCACGTGGGTGATTTTGCGGCTCTCCACGTGCCCAAACACCTGTTGCACTGCCGCCAGGCACTCCTTCACAGTGATGGCAGCGTTGTGGGCGCGGAGCCCACTGACCACCTGGAGGGCAGGCCCCCTCAAGCATTCCATCAGCCTCCGCCTCTTCTCCCTCTCAGGCACCTGCCACATTTGGAGCACCTCCGTAGTGTGCTCCAGCCAGGCCTCAAAGGCCAGTGCCCCTGGGACAGACACGGTGTTCCCAGAGAACACCCTGAGCTCCCGGAATAACATCTGTTCTAGTAGAGGCTGTACTACTGCCCCCAGGTTCTGGGCCCAAATCCAGAAATCAGGGGATATGACCACTCTGGGAGCCAGGCAATTGATGTCTGATCTAAGAACTCTGTTCATGTCTGATACTGTCCACCTCTCCTCCTCTAAGAAGTGGTTCAGTCTATTGAGAAATTCGCCGTCCGAGTTCCGAGGGTTTACCACCACCCTCCAAGGTTCCCCCTTTCCTGGGATTTCCTTAGGGATCAAAGCATAGTCGATATCTTGGGCAAGTTCCAGGAGACACACTTGGGCATTTTCCTCCCTCCTGAACATCCTGCCAATGACCCTGTACCTGCCCATTTGCCTGAGAGCCTCCTAAAGAGTCTCCTCAAACTCATCCTCATCACAGTCCTCAGGAACCCCCGGAATGAGCATAGACCTCTGGGTGTCCAGATGTTCCCCCCTGCACCAGTCCTGCAACAGACTCAATGGCATGGCCCCAATCTCTACAGCGTCTAACTTAAGGGGGAATGATAAGTGTGCCATGCACAGAAATTTGGGCCAACTCCCAGGGCGACGGCAGACAGCCCAGGTCTCCACAGCCTGTGAATATGAACAAGGCAAGAGCCAGGTTAATGCTGAAACCCCCCCTCCCGCCCCCTTGCTGCTGCCCCTCCTCCTCCTCCCTCAGTGCCTCTGCAGCCCAGGTAGACCCCCACCCTCCGAAGGCGCAAGGGGGCCTCAGCCTCCTCCCCACACCGCTCCCAGCCCTAGCAGGCCGCCCCAGCGGGTGGGGGAGGGGGGCGGAGTCTCCAGGGTCCACACGAGCCGTCCCCGAGTCTGGTACCTTCTCCTGGGGTGGGTCCTTTCTGATATCAGCCATAGAAAGAGGGACAAGGGGCGACGCGCAGCGGGGGTGGGGGCCGACGCCCCTCTTTCCCTGGCTCTCTTGCTGTCTTTCCCTCTTCATTTCCCTGTTCCTGTCTCAGGGCTGCCACACGTGGGCCAGCACTCTGGCGCCTGCTCGCCACCGCGCTCAGCAGTGCGGACTAGGGGCGGGAGTGCAGTAGCTGCAGAGCATGGATCCTCCATGTTGCCCCGGAGACCGCCAGGCCATTGCCGTTCCGGTCACGCGGCTGGGCGGTTGCCACCGCTGAGGGCTCCTGGGACCTCAATTGACGTCACCTGTTACTTCCCCCGCCTCCAAGGGGGAGTGGGCACAGGTGGTAGCCCCAGGGTTCCAGCCCTGTCTCCTGCCCTTCCTGGAACACGCCATTGGGGCGCTAGCGTGGGGTGAGGTCCACACACTGGGATGACCGCCAGAGAATGCTGGATGGGCTCCAGGTGCGCCCCTACAGGTGCGTTCAGGCCAGAGGTGGGGAGCCTCAGGGGCTCCTTCACCTGCTTTTCCCCTCCCCCTCCCTTTCCCTCTCTCCACCCGGGACTGGTCCTGCCTCAAGGCTAGGCATGGGGCACCTCATCTAGAGGTGCAACTGGTGTTATTCCATGGAGTAGAGGCTACATGCACACATGAGCGCTCACACACCACGCAGGACGCTGCCCACACCTCACTTGGGGGCTGGGGACTGCAGATGTCTGCCACTGAGGGTGCAGAGTGGGCCAAAGCGATTCCTTGCCCTAGTGACAAGGGCCTGCCTCAAAAAGGGTGACCTAGTATTCACCTTGGCTGGGGCGTTTCCCTTTTTGTGCACTGCAAGTCCTATGTCTGAAGAAACTGCTTTCTCCACTTGGAGCCTAAATTCTTGGGCCTGCCTTTCCCTGTGGGCAGTGGGCTGTGGGTTTTGCTCTTTCAATTGGGTCCCAGGAAGGAGGGAGGGAGTGACTGCTGTTCAGGCAGGGGTCCTAGTGGTCTGCCATAACATTCACAACTCCTGTGGGTAGGCTACTCCCCAGCCACACAAGCTGTCAGATCTCAAGCACCTGGATATGAAACACCTAGAAATTAAACGTGGCCTTGCCCACCTAATCCTTGTACATTCCCAGAGGCATGTAAACTCCATTGCTGTAGGTTACTGGCTTGAACTATTTATAATAATAAAAGCATAATATGCTAATTTGACCAGATGTCCTTCTGAACATCCTTCTGCATGAGCTCCCAAACGAAGCCGGGTCCCGGGAGCCAGAGGGAAGCCAGTGCTGGCAGCCAGGCAAGGAAGGCCTACTCTTGCACAAATTTCATGCATCGGGCCTCTAGTGTTGGTAATATTGGAAGTGGGAGAGAAGTAAAGGAACTTGAAAAATATTTAAAAGTAGAATGAATAGAATTTTGGTTTGGATTGGATCCCGTTTGGGGTGTTAAGGGAGATGGTTGGTGTAACTAGTATTAGTCATTCACTTTTGCCTAGCTAAGTGGTATTGTTCCTTATAGCAGGACTCTGTCTGGTTCATGCAGTTGGTCTATAGACACAGCTGAATCAGGCTCTGTGGAGGTTGAGGCCTAGGTATCTCAGGCATTGCCCTGGTTGAAGGTTCCCTGCCTGGCCCCACTCTTTTCCTTTGCTTCGGACTAGTGATTAGCTACCATTCTCAGTAGCTCCCTGAATACATCCTTGCAACTTGATCCAATGCGGTGTCATTGCTAAACTTATGGACAGCAGGGACTGTGCTTGAGTTCCCTGCTCTCCGGTGCCTAACGCAGTGCCTGACCCACGGAAAGCACTTCACCTTGAGTTATAGTGGGAATTAACCTTCATAATTTTCTTTATGTCCCCTGAAGTGCGCAGGAACACCACGTGTCTGTCCAGGACCCAAAATCTCCCCATCCCCACCTTGACACAGGTCTGTTAGCAGGCAGCTTGGCCAACGGAGCCTGCAGCTGTGTGATTGGGCACAGTTCATTACCAAAGTCTTTGGTCCTCGAAGTTCTTGTAGCTGACTCCGCCCCTTCTGCCTCCTTGCCACCACCCGTGGAGGGGCAATGTCCATCTATTATAAACCATGCCTGTGCCTGGGCCATGGACTACAACTCCCAGGATCCTTTGGGAGGACTCTAGTGCCTCTGTGTGTCCTTAATGGGCAATGGTGGCTAACACCCACTTCTGAGAGGTGCCAGACCAGGAATCTGCAGGACCCTGCAACCCAGGCTGGGGAGGAGCTTGGAAAGCTGGAGTGGAGGTGGGGACAGGTAGGCGTGGCTCAGGGCGCAGGTGCCACGTGGGCAGATGGCAGGCTTGGGATCCTTCCAGAGCCATTTAAGGAAGGCCTGAGATTTGCCCTCTTTGCCATGGTGATAGCCTGGCTTTGGCGCCTGTGACTGCTGGAGAAGAGCTTGCTGGAGGAGACCAGTGAGGTGGTGAGGCTGGGCTGGGCACTAAAGGTAAGCTTCGGGGGAGACAGGGGGGTAAAGAGTAGGGGAAGGGGGGGAGACTGCACTCTCCAAGGGCATGCATGGCAAGTACCCTGATGTCCCTGAGGCAGTGATGGAAGTAGGAGCAGGTCAGCCTTTTCCTAGTCAGAGGGAGGAGGAAACCTTTACACTGGGGCAGAGGACTGCCAGGCTGGATGGTTGGGGGAAATAAGACATCTGTTGCTTTGGAGATGTCAAGAACATACACGGTGGAGTACCAGGCAGCATTTCCTCCAGAGGCAGCGCTGTCCAATAGAAACAAAATTGGAACTACACGTATGCTTTTCAAATCCTCTGATAACCATATTTAGAATTAAAAAGAAACTGCTGTAATTAGCTTCAACGATGTGTTTTATTTAATCCAACGTATGTAAAAGTATTATCATTTCAACATGTGACCAATATAAGAAGGTATCGATGAGATACTAGTATTTTATTATTATTTTTTTAACTAACTCTTAAACATCTGGTGTGTATTTGACCTGTATACATCCCAACTTAGACTCACATTTCAAGTGCTCATTGCTACAGTGGCTCCATGGCTGTCTTACTGGACAGCCCAGCCACAGTATTCTCTTTTCATGGGGCTGGGTATAGAGGAGTAGCTCAGATGTCACCTGCTGCCTGGTGGAAACCTTATCTTGCCAAAGTTTTTGCTACTCAAGCGTTCAATCATTCCTTTCATTCAGGCTTCCACTTAGCAAAGCACTGCTGTTTCCTATCTAATTTTGACTCCAGTGCCTGTGAGGCAGGTAGAAGATCTGACAGTGCCATTTCACAGGTAAGGTGTACCCCATCAGTGTGGATATTTTTAGCTTAGGAGTGTGATTACTTCAGGCAGAGCCAAAGTCTCTAATGGCTTCTTCCTCTTCCCCCAGCACTACCTTCCCAGGACTCTGTTCTCCCCCTCAAAGAATGACTCAGAAGAAGAGGGCAATGCTGATGGGCTCCTGAAAGTTTGTTCAGTCTGTTCAGAGGTAAGCTGGGATTCCTGTTCCTCTCTGAAACATATGTAAAAGTATCGTAAAAAATATTATCAAAAGGCTCCCTCAACTTTTTAAAAAAATACATTTTTATTGAATTCAGAGAGGAAGGGTGAGGGAGAAGGTAATGGAAACATCAATGGTGAGAGAGAATCAATGATTGGCTGCCTTCTGCACACCCCGCAATGGGGATCAAGCCCACAACCTGGGCATGTGCCCTGACAGGGAATGGAACCATGACCTACTGGTTCATAGGTCAATGCTCAACCACTGAGCCATGCTGGCCAGGCATCTCTCAAATCTTATAGAGGGAATGCACCATCCTCCCTGTCCTGAACTGGCTCCCATAGCCTCAAACTTCTCACAAATTGCCCATCTTGGAAGAAGACAGAATCCATAGAACACCCTTCTGTAACTTTCTCCTCTCCACCCACCATTTAATCATTCATCACACCTTTGAGACCTGCTTTGTGCCTCAAAGTATTTATACATTGTAAGAGAGTAGTCCAATTTCATTATTTTGCATGTGAATATCAGGTTTTCCCAATGCATTTATTGAAGACTGTTTTTTCCTCATTGTATGTTCTCACCTCTTTTGTCATAGATTAATTGATCACAGGCTAATTTACTAAATATGATTTATACACATGAGGCAGAGAAGCAGCTTAAAGGGACCAGCTCTTTCTTTCAAAGATGTGAGAGTAAGTCAGAGCATAAATCTCTTTTGTCTTTATTGTCACCATTATATAAAATTGTGTTGTCAATTGCATTTGGAATTGATGTCAAAATTTGCCTGTGGAGTGTAAATATGTTAACTGGCATCAACCTTGAAGCATCAACCTTAGTCTTTTCTCTTGGGGACTGGTTTGTTCAGTTTTTCTTTTTGCTTTTGGGGGTACAGAGGCTGAGAATAGCTCGATTGCTTGTGGAATGCTGGGCTTGCCAAACCCTGGTCTGCTTGTTCGTCTGCTCTGTCAGCCCCTGTAGACATGCCTAGGACTCATCAGTGCAGCCTCTGACAAAATGAGCTCTTCTAGAAACTTCGCTTTGAGGTCTCTCGTTCCTATGGAAACACCGACATCTGGATCGCTCCTGCTCTGTTGGCAGGGGCATCAACTCTGCCGTGGCTGAGCCATCTGATCCAAGATCCCTGGCCTTTGGCTGCTCCTCGGGGAACTGTCCATATATTTTCATTCTCTTGTTTGTAAACACACACACACACACACACACACACACACACAAAACAAAC